GCAATAATAGCAAGCTAAGAAAGCAAGGAAGAGATGACCACAACGTCAAGAGGCAATGGCTTCCATTTAATATTCATCCATGTTAACCCGTGGTGGCGCAGTGGTTAGAATGCAGCATTGCAGGCTAATTCTGCCCATTGCCAGGAGTTCAATCCTGAGCGGCTCAAGGTTGACTCAGCCTTCCATCCTTCCAAGGTCAGTAAAATGAGGACTCAAATTTTGGGGGAAACATGGTGGCTCTGTAAACCACTTAGAGGGGGCTGTAAAACAGTATGGAGGTGTTATATAAGTCTAAGGGATATTACTAGTGCCCTTCCTTCCTTCCTTCCTTCCTTCCTTCCTTCCTTCCTTCCATCCATCCATCCATCCATCCATCCATGGTTAGAATGATGCAGTATTGCAGGCTAACTCTGCCCACTATTAGTTCAATTCTGACCAGCTGAAAGTTGACTCAGTCTTCCGTCCTTCCGAGGTCGGTAAAATGAGAACTCAGATTGTTGGGGGCAATAGGCTGACTCTATAAACTGCTTAGAAAGGGCTGGAAAGCAGTGAAAAGCGGTATATAAATTACTAGACACAAGGACAGTTTTTTTCCCGAATGCCATCACTCTGCTAAACAACGAATTCCCATAACACTGTCAAACTATTTACTAAGACTGTATCACTTTTATTATTCTCATCCTTCCTATTACCTATCTCCTCCCACTTATGACTATAACCTTGTTGCTTGTATCTTTACGATTTATATTGCTTTATTTAGTATGATTTGATTGCTCATTTAATATCCTATATCACTAAGGGTTGTATCTTATGATTCTTGATGAATGTATTTTTTCCCTTTTATGTACACTGAGAGCATATGCACCAAAGACAAATTCCTTGTGTGTCCAATCACATTTGGCCAATAAAAAATTCTATTCTATTCTATTCCATTCCATTCCATTCCATTCCATTCCATTCCATTCCATTCCATTCCATTCCTTATTCTATTCTATTCTATTCTATTCTATTCTATTCTATTCTATTCTATTCTATATTGTGTTTCCACTGGAAATATTTCACCTTATAGTAAAATCTGGAAAAAGTCAAGCTTCCTGGTTCCCAGTTCAGTATAGTGGCTGTTTGGGAGAGGGGGGCGAGCAGCCTTTGGGGCACAGAAGTGGTGGCACTTTTGCTTTGCATTTCTGTTTTTCTCAGCCTCTGTTCTTTGCCATCATGGCTGGAAAGGATCACCTTGTTCTTTTAGGCTGGGAATCCTTTAAGTCTCATAGAAGGTGCTGCATTCCCTTTGCTGAGTTCAGGGAGAGCCTCCCAAATCATTGCTCACGGTTGGAACAAGAGCGCCATCTGGTGCTAAACTGAGACAAGAGCTTGCTTAGGAGGAGGAGGAGGAGGCGGCATGAAATCCAGGGTTGGCTAATCACTGCAACTCAGCCAACCACCAGACCAAACTAAAGCCCTCCAAAAGATCCTCCCTCCCTTTCTTCCCTCCCTCCCTCCCTTCCTTCCTTGGTGCACAGTGGTTAGAATGCAGCATTGCAGGCTAATTCTGCCGACTGCCAGTAGTTCAATCCTCATTGGCTCAAGGTTGACTCAGCCTTCCATCCTTCCCAGATATTGCTCTTCTTTTTTTCTCCTTCCTTCCTTCCTTCCTTCCTTCCTTCCTTCTATTCTATATTGTGTTTCCACTGGAAATATTTCACCTTATAGTAAAATCTGGAAAAAGTCAAGCTTCCTGGTTCCCAGTTCAGTATAGTGGCTGTTTGGGAGAGGGGGGCGAGCAGCCTTTGGGGCACAGAAGTGGTGGCACTTTTGCTTTGCATTTCTGTTTTTCTCAGCCTCTGTTCTTTGCCATCATGGCTGGAAAGGATCACCTTGTTCTTTTAGGCTGGGAATCCTTTAAGTCTCATAGAAGGTGCTGCATTCCCTTTGCTGAGTTCAGGGAGAGCCTCCCAAATCATTGCTCACGGTTGGAACAAGAGCGCCATCTGGTGCTAAACTGAGACAAGAGCTTGCTTAGGAGGAGGAGGAGGAGGCGGCATGAAATCCAGGGTTGGCTAATCACTGCAACTCAGCCAACCACCAGACCAAACTAAAGCCCTCCAAAAGATCCTCCCTCCCTTTCTTCCCTCCCTCCCTCCCTTCCTTCCTTGGTGCACAGTGGTTAGAATGCAGCATTGCAGGCTAATTCTGCCGACTGCCAGTAGTTCAATCCTCATTGGCTCAAGGTTGACTCAGCCTTCCATCCTTCCCAGATATTGCTCTTCTTTTTTTCTCCTTCCTTCCTTCCTTCCTTCCTTCCTTCCTTCCTCCCTCCCTCCCTCCCTCCCTCCCTTCCTTGATGCACATTGGTTAGAATGCAATATTGCAGGCTAATTCTGCCGACTGCCAGCAGTTCGTTCCTCATTGGCTCAAGGTTGACTCAGCCTTCCATCCTCCCCAGATATTGCTCTTCTTTTTTTCCCCTTCCTTCCTTCCTTCCTTCCTTCCTTCCTTCCTTCCTTCCTTCCTTCCTCCCTTCCCTCCCTCCCTCCCTCCCTCCCTTCCTTCCTTCCTTGATGCACATTGGTTAGAATGCAGCATTGCAGGCTAATTCTGCTGACTGCCAGCAGTTCGATCCTGACCGGCTCAAGGTTGACTCAGCCTTCCATCCTTCCAAAATTGGTAAAAATGAGGACCCAGATTGTTGGGGGCAACAGTGACTCTGTAAATCACGTAGAGCGGGCTGCAAAGCATCATGAAGCATCATATAAGTCTAAATGCTGTTGCTCTGTTAATACATTAATATAGGCCTAAAGCTGCTTGGAGTGTCATTAGGCACGACCTATTGTACACCAAGAACTGAGTAGAGGAGCACAAGGCTAATACAGGGTAGGCTTCTGAGGAGTTTGGCGGGATTTGGGCCTTGAGGCAGTTTTGCAGTGGTTCTTCTTCCTTCTGTGAGCAGTAGCTACATAAAATCAATATTTGAGGACACCCAACTCTAAGGGAAGGGACGCAGTGGCTCAGTGGCTAAGATGCTGAGCTTGTCGATCGAAAGGTCGGCAGTTCAGTGGTTCGAATCCCTAGTGCCGCGTAACAGGTGAGCTCCCGTGACTTGTCCCAGCTTCTGCCAACCTAGCAGTTCGAAAGCAGGTAAAAAATGCAGGTAGAAAAACAGGGACCACCTTTGGTGGGAAGGTAACAGTGTTCCGTGCGCCTTTGGCGTTGAGTCATGGTGGCCACATGACCACGGAGACGTCTTCGGACAGCGCTGGCTCTTCGGCTTTGAAACGGAGAGGAGCACCGCCCCCTAGAGTCAGGAATGACTGGCACATATGTGCGAGGGGAACCTTTACCTTTTAACTCTAAGAGAAGAATAATTCGTACTGATCAGTGCCTGCTTTCACTAATGGATAAGACAAGAGAGATACAGGTTGAGATTAATTCCAGACAAGACAAGCACTCTTGGGGCAGCAGAAACCAGATTCTAGGATTGAATGACGTCTTCTGAAATGGCCGGTGTACAGACTGGCGGAGCTGACCTTCGCGATCTCTCGTTTCCAAAAGCAGCAGTGAGGAATATATTGGCACAAGCATTTAGCGCATTGTTCCCGCGGTGGTCAAAGCGAACAATAGTTCCTCTTGCCTTAGTTACATCCTGGCTTGGTCACTGCAAGGCATTCTACCTGAAGTTTTCCATGAGGGCAGCCTGGTGACTCCCATGGGGGCAAAATTTGGTAGCCAGATTGGTAAACGGCAGCATACGCCAGCTTTGAAAGATCTGGCAAGTTGTTTCATTGGCATAATTTAAAGTATTAATTTGATCTTTAAACCAGGGGTGGGCTTCAAAAATTTTAGCAAGGGATTCTCTGCCTGGTTGCTGGGTGGGTGTGGCCATGGTGGGCGTGGCCTAGTCAGACTCCCGCACCATGACGGGGGGGCGTTTTTGCCCTCCCTGGGCTCTGGAGGCTTTTCTTGAGCCTCCAGGAGGGCGAAAACGGCCTCCCCAGGCTCCAGAGGCCATCTGGAGGCCTTCCCTAACTTCTGGTAGGCCCATTTTTCACCCTCCCCGAGCCTCCACGCACGCCCTGCATCCAAAACGGGCCACGTGGGGACTCCTGGGAGGGGCAGGGTGGGGTAGGCAGGTCCAGCCAGGAGTGGGATTTGGGGGTTCTTCAAACTGCACAGAATCTTAGCTAGAGGTTCTGCCGAACCCCTGCGAACCCCCAGCAGCCCACCCCTCCCCCAAACGGCTTGACCGCTTGCTGTTTGAAAGACTACCTGTCTCAGAATCAACTTGCCTAAATCATTAAGGTGAGCAGAAGCGGCCCCGTCAAAGATACCTCTGATTGAGAGGATTATATGTAGGCCTAAGGGTGTTGTCATGCAGCAATCCCAAGCAGTGGAAGGCATACCCCCCTCAGGACCCCACACTTTCCACTGTTAGGAAAGATCTTCAGTTACTTGCAAATTAAACTGATTTTCCATATAAACCTGCTGTCAGGCCTGCCCCAATTTAGATCTTTAGGAAAGAAAAACCCTCGACTCCATTTGGTTGAAGTGATAGGTTCTTTTACTAAAATTAAGTGGTTGCAGCGAGAGGAAAGCTAGATCTGAGCATTCCCACACAAAGGTTACACATTTTCCCTTTCCTCTGGCCCTTTCCCCCCTGACCAGTCCATGAGTGCCCAACAGTACGCCGTCTTGATGTTTCGGGAACCGTTTTGCTGCTTGGTGCCGTTCGGTGTAGTTTTGCATTCTGTTCCCAGGGCAGGTGTCCTTGGCGGCTGGCTTATTCTGGTTTGGCGCCTCTGGTTCTCATCAGCTTGTCTCCCCCCCACATCAAATGCCCGACCTTTGCTTCCCCAAATTCCTTTCTCCCCCCCCACCTCACCCCCTGCATTTAGAGCATGATGCCAGCCGAAGCAAAGAAGCTGAAGATAGCAGACCTGAACACCTGTTCAAGGGCCTTGGCAGAAAAGGAAAATGTAATATATATATAAACAATAACAACATAGTCACAGTAAGGCTTTTTTTTTTTAATTCAAGAGACTGTTCTCGTTATGTTTACTGCTCAGGAAACCAGGCACGCACATATTTAATGGCCCGTTCTGATCCCTGCCCACAGATTAACCACCACCCTTTAAGCGCTGTGTGAGGAAAAAGGCAGAAAAACCTTTCCAGCAATCGCGTCTGGAAAAGATCTGAAAAGAAGAGCACAAAATGGCCTCTTGTTAAGTCATGGCTATTAGGTGTGTTGTGTTTGGGGGAGATGAGGGGAAAGCAACAAGGGGAGTCCCTTCGTCCAGGCCCCAGATGTGAGGACAAAAGCCGGAGGGCAGCTTGCAAAGGGAGAGAAGTGGCCCATCAGGCTCACAAGCCATCTTCCTCTGCTCCCTCCTTCCGCCACCTCAGGGGGAAAAAAAATCATGGCCGCTTCCTTTGCTGGGCCAGAACCGCAGATTTCGCCTCATCTCTTCTTGACTGACGCCAAGTAGGCGAACCACAAGACGGCAACGAGGTTTCCGAAGAGCACCTGGAACTTCCAAGAAAAGAAAAGGACACCCAGTTAACAAAGTTGAGGAGAGCAGGGCTCCATAAAAATAAACCTCAATGAGAACATCACGGGTCCTTAAGTAGAGAAGCAACCTTAGAACATCTCCCCTCCTTTCCAAGTGCAGTTTGTGGCAAGAGAAGCCCCGTCTTGCTCCACACGCCCCAAAATAATAAGACCTCCCCGAAAATAAGGCCAAGTGCTTATTTCGGGGTTCAAAACATATAAGACAGAGTCTTATTTTCAGGGAAACAAGGTATATATGGGCAAGTTTCATCATCTTCTTTTAACAACCCCATAATCTCTTGAGGGGTGGAGTCTGGACAACTGAATGGAGCTGGCAGAGTGCTTTAATGGCCGGATGCCCTTCCCGTTGCCAATGCGGAGTTTTGTTCAGCAAGAGCCTTGGTGGCGCAGCAGACTAAAAGCACTGTTAAGTAGCACCAGCTGCCTGCAATTACTGCAAGTTCAAATCTCACCAGGCTCAAGGTCGACTCAGCCTTCCATCCTTCCGAGGTAGGTAAAATGAGGACCCGGTTTGTGGGGGGCAATAAGCTGACTTTGTATAAAAAAGAACACCGCTTTGGGGGGGCTCGAAAGCCCTACTAAGCAGGTATATACAAAAGTATGAAGGCTATTGCTTAACGCATTGTAAGCCGCCCTGAGTCTCCGGAGAAGGGCGGCATATAAATCGAACCAATCAATCAATCAATCAATCAATCAATCAATCAATAAATAAACAAATAAAAAATAAATAAATAAATAAATAAATAAATAAATAAATAAATAAATAAATTCTCATTGTGCTCAGAGTAAAATATCTGCCTCTACTTAGGATCGAACTCACAGCCTCCTGATTGTGAGGCGAGAGCTTCACCTCTAGGCCACCGGACTAGGTGATTATAAAAATTCTTTTCCTCAAACCGTGTAATGGAAAGACTCCCTTGCTGGAAGCTCGGCTCTCAGAGATCACCACACTATAAAAAAGATGTTGAGATTCTAGAAAGAGTCCAGAGAAGAGCAACCGGGATGATTCGGGGAGTGGAGGCTAAAATATATGATGAACCATTGCAGGAACTGGGCCTGGCTAGTCTAGTGAAGAAAAGGACCAGGGGAGACAGGAGAGCAGCCTTCCAATATTTGAGGGGCTGCCACAGAAAGGAAGGGATCAAACTATTTTCCAAAGCACCTGAAGGCCAGACAAGGAATAATGGATGGAAACTAATCAAGGAGAGATTCAATCTGGGAATAAGGAAAAAATTTCTGACAGTGAGAACAGTCAACCGATGGAACAGAAGTTGCCTTCAGAAGTTGTGGGAGCTTCATCCCTGAAAGCTTTCAAGAAGAGACTGGACGGCCATCTGTCGGAAATGGTGTAGGGTCTCCTGCTTGGGCGGGGGGTTGGACTAGATGACCTCCAAGGTCCCTTCTAACGCTGTTAATCTGAAAGTAGATGCTTCCTTTAATTTCCCAGCCACAAGGCAGAAGTGGTTTGCCTCTTTCCTGGATGATGATTCTTGACTTCGCAGTCTGGCCCACAGCCCTGCAGTTTCCTTGTGGTCTCCCATCCACTCATGAGATTTGATACTTCACAACTACGGCTGGCTTAGCCAGTGAAAGTGGACTCACCTACACAACCCAATGAAGTATTTGGTGTGGAAATGAAATGGGAGGAAAGAAGGGGAAGCCCTTACCTGCAAAGGGACATAAGTGAAGTTAATAACCTGGACGGGAGTCCATACTTTCCAGTTCATCTTTAAGGATGTCCAGTAACCAGATTTTATCTTTTTGGAGAACTCAGACATGTCCTTCCCCTGAAAGAAAACGGTTATCAGTGACATGCAAAGGAAAAAGAAACTGTCCCTGCCCAGCACCCAGGAGGTACCAAAACACCCCAGAAAGAAATTCTTTTCTTATACAATAGAAAAGCACTACGGAAGTCCTGGGGGTGGGTGGTTGGGGGGAGGGGGGTGGGGGTGGGAGGGGGGAGGAGGGGAGAAAATTGTTGTATTGATTATTAAAACTTTTTAAATAAAAAAAAAAGATTTTAATTGATTAATTTTATGGGTAAGGGGTTTTAAAATTGGAAAGCCAAATTGGATTTAATTATTCTTTTAAATTATTTTAATTTTCATACTATATGTATTTTAACCCTGGCTGTTCATCGCCCTGAGTCCTTCGGGAGAAGGGCGGTATAAAAATTTAATAAATAAACAATCCTGTGAGGTAGGACAGGCCAAGAAAAATCAGAGGCACACAGTGAGTTTTGTGGCTCTATAAACATGTTTACTCAGGTTTTCTTTGGAAAGTGATCCAACGTCTACAGAGGAATTATTGAGTCTGTCATCTGCACCTCCATAACTGTCTGGTTTGGTTCTGCAACCCAACAAGACAGACACGGACTTCAGAGGAGAATTAGAACTGCAGAAAAAACCATGGCTACCAACCTGCCTTCCATGGAGGACCTGAATACTGCACGAGTCAAAAAGAGGGCTGTGAAAATATCTACAGACCCCTCACATCCTGGACATCAACTGTTTCAACTCCTACCCTCAAAACGACACTATGGAGCACTGCACACCAGAACAACTAGACACAAGGACAGTTTTTTCCCAAACGCCATCACTCTGCTCAACAAATAATCCCCTCAACACTGTCAAACTATTCACTAAGTCTGCACTACTATGAATCTTCTCATCGTTCCCATCACCCATCTCCTCCCACTTATGACTGTATGACTGTAACTTTGTTGTTTGTATCCTTACGATTTATATTGTTTCCTAGTATGATTGCTTATTTGTACCCTATGACTTTCATTAAGTGTTGTACCTTATGATTCTTGACGAACGTATCTTGTCTTTTATGTACACCGAGAGCGTATGCACCAAAGACAAATTCCTTGTGTGTCGAATCATACTTGGCCAATAAAGAATTCTATTCCTATTCTATTCCTTTGAAGCCCTTCCAATGTTTGGAAGGAAGTGAAAAGGCAACCCCCAAATCTGTGAATTTGGGGGCACGGTTTTGAAAGATCCTTATGCGCCTTCAGCCTCCAACTCTCTCTTCCCCCACTGATCTGGAAGTTGTTGGGCAACCGGAAACACACTGCTTGCATTCCTGATGGATTTGAAAAGCACTTTATTCAGGACACCCTATGTCCTGAAGCAAAAAAGTACTGGACTAAGAAACAAGGATGGCTACAAGAGATAATAAAATGTCAAAGAGAACCAAACCCGGAAACATTTCTCCTGGGAATACTTAAAACTGTTGTGGCCCGTCAGCGGCCTGTGCAGATTGTAGCTGATTCCGACAACGAGGAGGCTGGTGTGGTGCTGCGCCAGCAGCCTGTGCAGCTGGCACTCGAGTCGGACAATGAGGAGGCTGGAGAAGATGTGGTGCCTGAGGCAGGGATTCAGCCAGGGCCTTCAGAACCTCCAGAAGTTCCCATAAGTGAAGAGGAAGAAGAGGAAGAGCCTCTTCTCAATGCACGGGCATGCAGAGCTGCCAAAAGGCAGGAGTGGCTCTCAGGAGGAGGTCTCCTTGAGAGTAAGGCTTGGGGCTAATTGGCCACTCCCTTAGCCTATTTAAGGAAGGACGCCGACTGAAGCAATTTGTAGGGAACAACTTTAGTTCAATCTCCTTCGCGTCTGGATTCTCTGCAAAATTGTTTCTGGGCTTTCTGCCAACTCTAGTAAGACTGTGATTACCTTATCTTAGAATTCTGGCAGGCTGTTAAGACAGTTTATTAACAGCCTTTGGTTGATAAAGACTAAGTTATTTGAGTAAAATAAGCTTTGTATAGAGTTTGTGTGTGCTGCGTTCTTTGGGGTCCGTAGCTGGGGCAGAACAAAAACAAAATTTGATAGAAAGATAAGATATTTGATTCTACACATTAACAGCAGCAAGAACTGCGTTCGCGCAATACTGGAAGGAACCCAATACACCACCAGAGGGATTGATCATTCAGAAGATATATGAATGTGCCGAAATGGATAAACTTATCCTAGAACTAAAAGAAAAAGATGATTCGGAATTTTATGCAGTTTGGGGAAAATGGTATACTTGGATAGATAACAGAAATAAAAATTGGAAATATACATAAAGCTATTGAGAATTAGATATTGAATGTATATCCTGTATATATTGTATGGAATGTTGATCCGAAGTATACAAAAATGACACAGTCTGTTGATTATGTACTAGAGTTGTGTAAAGGAAAAGTGTAATAAAAATTATTTCAAAAAAAAAAAGGAAAAAAAAGAAAAGAAAAGCACTTTATTTTACTGTAGCTTTTGGCCCATGCGGTTTTATTTTGGTGCTTTCAAATCGGGGGCTTTTTTGGACTCCTGGTGACTTCCTGGACAAGCACCTAAAGTTTTCTTGGCAAGATTTGCCCTTGTTTGCTGCCAAGGACTGAGAAGGGAGGGACTGGCCTAAAGTCACCCAGCTGTTTTTGTGCAGGACTAAAACCCGGGGTCACGTGATCGCAATTTTGCAACCTTCTGACGAGCAAAGTCAACGGGGGAAAGCCGGATTCGCTTAACATCCGGGTTGCTAATTTAACCACAGCTGCGGCAAAACAGGTCGCAAAATGGAGCAAAACTTGCTCAACCACAGAAATGTGGGGCTCAATTATGGTCCTAAGTCAAGGACTACCTGTACTTATCACCCTGCGGAAAGGCAATTGAACTCTCAGAACGAAACAGGCCAACCTATGAATTGGGATGAGTAACCCTGGCTCGTGAATTTACCCCTTTGCTCTAAGAAGGCAGTATGTTTCTCAAACAACAACTTCAAGACTGAAATTCCCAGAATTTTCCAGCCAGCATCTGCTGCTCCTGATGACTGAAATACCCTATCTATACTGATCACCGTATTTTTCAGAGTATAAAACGCACCTTGGTTTTTGGGGAGGAAAATAAGAAGAAAAAAAAATCTGCCTTTGCCTCCACCGGTATTCATCTGGCTAGCATCCTGTCAGTGTGTGAGAGAGTTGAGGGCTGTTTGGAAACTGAAACAGTATTTGCTGTGTGAGCAACAAGGAAGGAGACAGCAAGGAGCCTGGGCGTGGCTTAGGTCTGCAGCTCTGAGTCTGTGCTGAATTAGTCAACTAGTCTGCTGCTCAAAATTGAAACTCCTCCCCTCTGCTTGTGTTTTGCTTGTATTTACTACCACGTTGGAAAACCTGCTTTTGGTATTGTATATTTACTTCATATGTTACGTTATATATAAAGAGAAGTTATTGAATCCTGCTGAATCAGTTACTTGTGTGTGCTTTCTGGATGTGATTGCTGCTGCAAAATCTGACAGTCCTTGCAGCAAACAGCCAGGTCAGCTTCAGCACATTATTACAGCCCGATTCAGCACAAGCAGCTGATTGGCGGGTGGATCAGCCTCATGGAATATCCCCAATCAGCTGTTCCAGGATTGCCAAAGACCATCGCCGCCTCTATGCCTCACATTTTGACTACATTCAGTGTATAAGACGCACCCAAATTTTCACCCTCTGGGGGAGGGGGGAGTCTTTTACTCTGAAAAATACGGTACCTGAAAGAAAGAAAAAAAACAAGCCACTCTTCCCAGTAAGAACAGTAGAACTGGATACGTCCAAGCAGAAACTGGACAACTATCCATCTAGATTCTAGCAAGGGGAACAGGAGTTAAACCAGCTGCCCTTGCTTCTAGGAGCCCTGGATCATCTCAGATCATCCCTAAGCAAGATCCTACCTCCAAAAAGTTCATGACCAGGAAAAAGAGGGCCAGGAAGGCCGGGGAGACAATCAGACGGTCCACCAGTAGTCGTTTGATGAGAGCAAATTGTGCGTCCGAAGGAATGAGTTGCTCCAAATAGAGGTAAAAGTAATGGCTGAGAGGTCCGGTGAATAAGAAACTGCAAAAGGAACAAAACCAACCGATTATAAAATCCAGCATCTAACAGATTAATATTTAATAATAGGCTGCAACACCCCTTCCGTAAGGGCCCGGCATCAGTCATTGGCATCAGTCATTGGCTGAGCTGCTGTGATATCATCCAAGACCCAGGAAGCATTCCAGATACTCCTGGGAAATTGGAGTGGAGTATTGATTCACTCCACTACATAGGGACACTGTGGCTCAGTGGCTAAGATGCTGAGCTGGTCGATCGAAAGGTCGGCAGTTCAGCAGTTCGAATCCCTAGTGCCGCCTAATGGGTGAGCTCCCATGACTTATCCCAGCTTCTGCCTACCTAGCAGTTCGAAAGCAGGTAAAAAATGCAAGTATAAAAATAGGGACCACCTTTGGTGGGACGGTAACAGTGTTCCGTGCGCCTTTGGCATTGAGTCATGCCGGCCACATGACCACGGAGACGTCTTCGGACAGCGCTGGCTCTTCGGCTTTGAAACGGAGATGAACACCACCCCCTAGAGTCGGGAACGACTAGCACGTATGTGCCAGGGGAACCTTTACCTTTAAAAGTTGACTCTTGTTTATCATTCTTCTTCTCGGCTGGGCATGAAAACATAGAAGACCAGAAATGGCCATTGGAAACATTCTGCATGGCTCTGAAGGGTTTATTTGAATCCCCACCTCCAAAACGCAAAGGAGATTGAACTAAAGTTGTTCCCTACAGCTTGCTGCAATCGGCGTTCCTCCTTAAATAGGCTAAGGGAGTGGCCAATTAGCCCCAAGACTTACTCTCGAGGAGACCTCCTCCTGAGGAGCCACTTCTGCCTTTTGGCAGCTCTGCATGCCCGTACATTCTTTTGCTATTGTGTGTTTGGTTTTAAAATGTAAAATACTCAATAAAAATTATTTTTAAAAAACAAAACAAAACAGGGTGAGCTCCCGTTCCTTGTCCCAGCTTCTGCCAACCTAGCAGTTTGAAAGCACGTAAAAAATGCAAGTAGAAAAATAGGGACCACCTTTGGTGGGAAGGGAACAGCATTCCGTGCGCCTTTGGCGTTGAGTCATGCCGGCCACATGACCACGGAGACGTCTTCGGACAGCGCTGGCTCTTTGGCTTTGAAACGGTGATGAGCACCGCCCCCTAGAGTCAGGAACGACTAGCACATATGTGCGAGTGGAACCTTTTACCTTATTGGTTCGCACTCTGCAAAGCAAGTAAAAAGCAGGCCTGAAAGAAAGAGGAAAGGATCTTCATGCCAAGAGACAAAGGAAAAGAAGTGCAGACAGAGAGAAAGTGAGAAAGTCCCAGAAAGCAGACAAACGGAGGAGAGGTTAGGGGAGACGGAAGGACAGGCAGAAGACAGAAAGAGAAGGAATGTTAAGGAAAGCTAAAGCGAAGGTGATTGCAATCTGGAACGGAAGAAAAGCTTTTAGCTTGGACTTTGGAATAAAACGCACAAAAAGTTAATAGGATGTAGACAGGCAGTGAAGGAGCAGTGAAGCTCAGCAGCCACTGCAAGAATAGAAGGGGAGTGACAGAGCTGCAATCCTTGGCTCGCAACTAGATGCCAGTCTGCCATCAGCCATGGGGAGAGGGAGCTGGGGGGGGGAAGACGGGGGAAGGGGAAACCGAAAGTCCTCTCGGTGCCATCCCGAGACATCCCAAGATCTTGGTCCTGGGAATGGAATGTAACACCCATCCATTTATCCAACCATTGCTACCAAATCATCTTATTTCAATGTGCCTGGACAATGGGATGATAACAGAAGGGTGTGGAACACAAAAGGGGAAAGCGTGAGACTGACCACATCTTTACTACTCCCTAGGAAAGAACGACCCTTAACTCCACAGGGGTTAAAGAAAAGGTACTTTTACTAGAGCTGTGGAGTGCAGCAGTGAGCGAGGCAAGCTCTGGAGGAAAAACAGCGTGAAAAATCACATTGAAAGCAATCACCAATGTCCCAAACCCTCTCCCCACTCCTATGAGAGTAATCCAATCAGGTTCTTTTCTGATGTTTTGGGACCCTGGTGCCTTAGGCACCGGAGTAAATGCCTTGGTAGGACAGTGGTTTAAAGCACCCTGTTATTAACACAGCTGCCTGCAATTTCTGCAGGTTCGAATCTTACCAGGCTCAAGGTTGACTCAGCCTTCCATCCTTTCTAAGGTAGGTGAAATGAGGACCCAGTTTCGCTGCCTTAGAAGAGTGAGGAAAATCCTCAGGGACGACTCTCACCCTGGTCATCCCTTCTTTACCCTCCAATCGTCGGGAAGGACATATAGAAGCATAGCCAGCCGCACAAACAGGCTGAAGAACAGTTTTTCTACTGTAACGCTCTCTACATGGGGCTCCCCTTGAAGAGCACCCGGAGGCTCCAGCTGGTCCAGAATGCGGCCGCGCGGGTGATTATGGGGGCGACTCGATGCTCCCATGTAACACCATTCCTGCGCGAGCTGCACTGGCTTCCGGTGGTCTTCCGGGTGCGATTCAAGGTGTTGGTCGCCACCTTTAATGCGCTCCATGGCATAGGACCTTGGTACTTACGAGACCACCTTCTGCCTCCGATAGCCTCCCACCGACCAGTACACTCCCACAGAGAGGGTCTCCTCAGGGTGCTGTGGGTTAGACAGTGTCGACTGGTGACCCCCAGGGGGAGAGCCTTCTCTGTGGGGGCACCTACCCTCTGGAACGAGCTGCCCCCGGAGATTCGTCGGATTCCCGACCTTCGTACCTTTCGCCGCTCCCTTAAAACACTATTATTCCATCAAGCAGAGCCTTGGTAGTACAGTGGTCTAAGGCACCCTGTTATTAAGCTGGTTATTAAGACCAGCTGCCTGAAATTACTGCAGGTTCAAATCTCGCCAGGCTCAAGGTTGACTCAGCCTTCCATCCTTTCTAAGGTAGGTAAATTGAGGACCCAGTTTGTGGGGGCAATAAGCTGACTTTGTATATATATACAAAAGGATGAAGGCTATTGCTTAACGCATTGTAAGCCGCCCTGAGTCTCCGGAGAAGGGTGGCATATAAATCAAATTAAAAAAAAAAATGCCTTTTCCAGGGCCGGTGTCCTTGAAGGCAGGAAGATGGCTCAGTCTGGCACCTCTCGTTCCTGTCAGGGTCCATACTCCCCAAATTTCCCACAACATTCCTTTACACCTCCAGCACTCTTCCCCTCCCCAATGCCCCCTGCCCCGTGGTTGCTAGCGAGCTTCAAAGAAAGCAAAGGTAGACGGCTGGCAGAAAGTTAACTAGGGAATTTTTGTGCACAAATTCTTAGTTCTGACTTTGCATAACTGTAACCCCCTGGCTTTTAGTAAAAAAAAAATTTAAAAAAATATTTTCGCCATAACTAGAGTCTAGAGAGTTCCTTTCCTGAAGGACCAAGCAGGGCCAGGTCTGACATTAAGCCAGAACCACAATATCGATCTACCCAGAGCTAATAACTAACAGGGAGACTGTGCAAACATTGTGCATCCCTGAGAAAAGGAACATTTACTTTGTATTGTTTGCATGGGAAGTGTTGTGGTCCGCCAGCAGCCTGCGGAGCTGGCAGTGGAGTTGGACAGTAAGAGGCTGAGGAAGAACATGGCCCAGTCCTGGAGGCTGGGGAAGGCCCGGATGAAGGCTCTGCCATCGGGGAGTGCTTCGGAGCCTCCAGAGGCTGACAGCAGAGAGGCAGAGGAGCAGGAGGAGCCTGTTCCTAGTGCACGTATGAGAAGAGCTGCCAGAAGGCAAGAGCAGCTAAAGCAGAGAGGACAACTCAGGAGTAAGGCCAAGAGATGATTGGCCCCTCCCATAAGGCTTAAAAGACCAGCAACGGCTCTTGGCCTCTTTGCTGGAAAACAACCATTGAGAGAATTGCTTCTTGTTTGGCTGTAGTTATTTCTTCTGTTCCTGAAGTGTTTTATTTTATTTATTTATTTTATTATTCATATTTCTATGCCGCCCATTCTCCGAGGACTCTGGGCAACTTACACCAAAGACAGTATACTAAATAGCCTATTGCCCCCAACAATCTGGGTCCTCATTTTACCCACCTCGGAAGGATGGAAGGCTGAGTCAACCTTGAGCCGGTGAGATTTGATCTGCTGATCTGCTGAACTAGCAGTCAGCTGAAGTAGCTGCAGTACTGCACTCTAACCACTGCGCCACCTTGGCTCTTATAGTGTTGCCAAGAAAAGCCTTTGGCAATTTGCCTAATTATCCCAAGGTCAGAGATAAACTAAAGACTGGTGTTTTGAGAAGTTTGCTTTCATTTAATTTGGAATACGCTGACAATGAATTAATTCTCAGCCGTTTTAATAAAATGTTTGTTTTTTGGAACTGTTTTGCATTTAATATTAACTACGTGGGCCTGGATCACAACAGGAAGATCTCAGATTCAGCTTCGCTACTTACGTAACCATTTAAGCTTCAGTAAAGTGTCGGGAACAACTAGCACATATGTGCGAGGGGAACCTTTACCTTAAAGCAGGGGTCTCCAAACTTGGCAACTATGCTGGCTGAGGAACTCTGGGAATTGAAGTCCACAAGTCTTAAAGTTGCCAAGTTTGGAGACCCCTGCCTTATACTCCTGGCAAAAACAAACAGCTAGGGGTCTTTTTTTGCTAGATAATTGAAGGGGACAGCTGACATGTTGCCCCTGAAAAAAAACCCAAGCTCTAAATGCCAATGGATGGGGGTGGGGGATGCCTCACCAATTTTGGGAACTTATTGAAGAGACTGCGTGATATAACAACCTCCAAAAGACAACCCCAGGGGCGAGATCTCCTCCCAGACTTTTCAGGCCACGCAAATTGCTTGGCTGCACCTCCCATGAGCATCTTCCACCAGTTCCCTCTTACCCATAGGCAGCAAATCGAAGGGGTTCCCGCCAGTTAAGGCTCCTCTTTTTCTGGCTCTTCTCAATTACTTGGGACAGGAGACTCCCTAGAGCTGACAGGAAGGCACTGTGGGAAGAAAGGAAGCATCATGTAAAAATGTAAAAGATGGGAACAAGATGCCACACTATAAAAAAGATGTTGAGACTCTTTAGTGCAGAGAAGAGCAACCAAGAAGATTAGGGGACTGGAGGCTCAAACGTAAAAAGAACGGTTGCAGGAACTGGGCATGGCTGGTCTAGTGAAGAGAAGGACCAGGGGAGACAGGAGAGCATCTTCCAATATTTCAGGGAATGCCACAAAGAAGAGGGGATCAACTTATTCTCCAAAGCACCAGAGGGCAGGACAAGAAACAATGGGTGGAAACTGATCAAGGAGAGATTCAATCTGGAATTAAGGAGAAACTTCCTAACTGTGGGAACAATTAACCAGTGGAACAGCTTGCCACCAGAAGTTGTGAGTGCTCCATGAATGGAGGTTTTTAAGAAGAGACTGGACAGCCACCTATCTGAACTTGTGAAGGGTCTCCTGCTTGAGTTGGGGGCTGGACTAGAGGACCTCTAAGATCCCTTCCAGCTCTATTCAGAGTAAATGGCAGAGGGCCTCCTGCTTGAGTTGGGGGCTGGACTAAATGACCTCCAAGGTCCCTTCCAGCTGTATTCGGATTGAATGGCAGAGGGGTTGGTGGATGGACTAGAGGATCTCCAAGGTCCCTTCCAGCTGTATTTGGATTGAAGGGCAGAGGGTCTCCTGCTTGAATTGGGGGCTGGACTAGATGACCTCTAAGGTCCCTTCCAGCTCTGATTCTAAAAGCGCGTCCGGAAGGGCGGACAGGCGCACGCTACCTGGAGGCGGCCTTGGTGAGCACCGGATAAAGGCGGAGGAGGAGGAGGTAGCGGGCCAGCAACCTCCGCGAGAGCGGCGCCGAGTCGGGCTTGGAGTGCACCGGAGACATCCCGCAGAGCCAGTACCCCCGGCGAGCCCCTCTGCGCATGCGCCTGGCGGCCAAGGAGCCGCGCCTCCCGCCTTTAAGCCAATCGGCGCAGAGGGGAGGGGGGAAGGCGGAGCTCCGGGGCGGAGTTCAGGCAACGAGTGGGGCGTGACGGAGGCGGGATCTCTGCCTACCATTGGCTGCCCGGCGGGGCGGCCTTGTATTCGCTGCCGAGGGAAGATGAAGTCAAAGAATCTGGGTGGCAAGATGAAAGGAGTCCTTTCATCCAATCGGAGGAGAGAGGGCGAGGGCGGGACGGAGCATTAGCGAATGGGCAGGGGGAACGGAGAGGAGGGACGAAAATAGACACTGGGAGGAAAGGAATGGCAAACTGCTCCTTTCCAATTGGTCGTCGCGTAGTACCGAGACCCAGGCGTAGAAATCTGATTGGTTTTAAGGCCAGGGGTGGGGAATCCGTGGCCCTTTCATGACTTGTGGACCTCAACTCCCAGAATTCCTACCCCAGGCAAGGCTTGCTGAGGAATTCTGGGAGTGGAAGTCCACAAGTGATAAATGGACTCTGGTTTAAGGACTCCTTGGGGCGCGAGAGCTGCGAAGTCTCGGCGGATCTCGCGAGATATTCCGCAGCGCGCGAAAGGCGGTCGGGTCGTCGGCGAGGTTGACGCTGAGGGAGGTTGATGAAGGCGGGGAGTGGAGGCGCCCGGTGGGCTGCGGAGCTCCAGAAAGGGACAAGAGGGAGACGCCGCGGCCAGGAGGACCCCGAGACCCCCCTCTCGTGACAGGATTCTGAGCAAGGCCTTGGCATAGGCTGTCCTCGACTTACAACGCTTCGTTTAGTGACCGTTTACCATTACAAAGGCACTGGAAAAAAGAGACATGACCGTTTTTCACACTTAACCACCGTCGCAGGATTCCTCAAGGTCACAGGATCAAAAATCAGACATTCGGCAACTGACTCGCATTTACGACGGTCGCAGTGTTCCCCTGAGGGGGGAGGTTTCACACGATCCCCTTTTAGCACCTTCCGACGAGCAAAGTCAACGAGGAAGCCAGATTCACTTAATGACGGGGGTCACTAAGTTAACCACTTCTGCGGTTCACTTAACAACTGGCAAGAAAAGCTGCAAAACAGAGCAAAACTCACTGAACAACCGTTTCGCTGAACAGAAAATTTGGGCTCTATTGTGGTTGTAAACTCGAGGATTACCTGTGGCAAGATCTTCCTTGTTCCTATGTCTTCCAACCATGTGCTTAGTGAACGTTCAAAGTTACAACGGCACCGGGAAAAAAAATGACTGATGACCATTTTTCACACTTAATGACCGTTATGGCATCCCTGTGGTCACAAGATTAACATTCAGACGCTTGGCAACTGACTCACATTTATGACGGTTGCAATATCCTGGGGTGGGGTGGGGGTCACATGATCCCCTTTTGCGACCTTCTGACAAGCAAAGCCGATGGGGAAGCCAGATTCACTTAGCAACTGTCTGAGTAACTTTAACAACCGCAGTGATTTGCTTAACAGCTGTGGCAAGAAGAGTCATAACACGGGGGAAAGCTCACTTAAACAAATGTTTTTGCTTAGCAATGGAAATTTTGGGTTCAATTGTGATCGCAAATCAAGGAACCTGTGTATTTAGGAGCCCTGATGGTCCTGCATCCCGAAGTGTCCTAGACAAATGCAGAGCAGAGTAGAGTTGGGAGTAAAACTGACATAGTCCTAGCCTCAGTTCTCATTTTGGGGCTCACCCAGGGAAAGGGGGTGCCCCTGAGCTATGCCAGGAGGGTTTCCTTTTTTCTGACAGGATAAGTGATGCATGGCTCCCCTCGCAGACTTGTGCCCCTACCTTGTTGGCGGGATTGTCCTTTTACACATAATCCTTGACTTACAACAATTCGCTTAGTGGCCATTCAAAGTTCTGCCATTGAAAAAAGTGACCTATGACCATTTTTCACACTTGAGAACACACAATTGTTAAGTGAATCATTTGTTGTTAAATCAGTGACATGGTTGTTAAGTGAATCTGGTTCCCCATTGACTTTGCTTTCGGAAGATCACCAGAGGGGATCACATGACCCTGTGGGACACTGTGACTGGTCATAAGTGTGAAAAATGTTCATAAGTCACTTTTTTTCCTTGCCGTAACTTCAGACGGTCACTAAGTGAACTGTTGGTGCCATTCCCCCAGTCGGCCAGCCAATCTCAGGAATTCCTGGATGTATTCTGCCCCCAGCCATTTCCCCTGTTTAATAGCTAGGATGCGGATCTCCACTCGTCAGTCGGCTCAAGACTCATGTAAAGACATCAAAATGATACAGTTGGATAGCAATGCTCCAACATTGGAAGTTTTTAAGAAGAGATTGGACAACCATTTGTCTGAAATGGTATAGGGTTTCCTGCTTAAGCAGGGGGTTGGACTAGGAGATCTCCAAGGTCCCTTCCAACTATGATTTTGTCTTGCCTCTGGAAGTTGTGGGTGCTCCATCACTGAGGTTTGTCTCATTTAGCCAAGACCACAAAACCTCCCATTGTGCTGACGGAATCCATGTTGCCTGCTTGCAACCACCAACCACAAGCAAACCACAATGCACTACTACTGACTGGAGCAAGCTCTCACTGGGTGTCTATACTCTCTGGGCCCATAACCTGTCAGAGTGTGCATAGGTCTATCCCGTGTATCAGTCCAGGAGCAAGTACAGCCAACAGTGGTTTATATCAAATAGTGATTTTTATCTACAAAAGGAATATAGAAATAGTATACATACATGTTCTACAAGCAGCATCTAAACAACCAGCAATTATAGCAGGGAAGAAACTCCCCGAACCAATGAACACTCTAGCAGGGCCTCCTCTTATTGCACAGGCTCTTAAAGGGATAACAGCCAAAGACTCTGCTTACTCCCTTCATTGCATCAGCTGGTCAGCTCTTAAATTATCACCTTGACACATTTGTCTGAAATGGTATAGGGTCTTGGGCTGAGCAGCAGGTTGGACTACAAGGCCTCCAAGATCCCTTCCAACTGTTATCCTGTAACTAATTCTGAAGCTCCGGGTATTCCTCAGTTTGATAAAGCCAGAAAAGGTGCAATGAATTTGCTAACCTATGAATAACCAGAACATTAACACCTTCCTAGCCAATTTTTTACACAGACCTCAGTTCTCTCTGGAAGAAAAACAATTTAAAAAAAACAACAACCCAAACTCAGACTTAACTCTTGGTGTCTTTAAGACATCTTGGTGTCCCTTCCTCAGCGGTGACCCCAAAATGCTTTGCCTTCGCTAAGGAAAAAACATTTAAAAAGTGGGCAAACGGATTTAAGAGCCATTCTTTTGCCAAATGACCCGGCTCTGTTTTTCGAAATGTCTGTGTTTATTTAAATTGGAGTTCCCAGCGCATAGAACCCCTTCTATTTACTCTGGTGGTTCAGGTCACTCTGTCCGCCAGCTGTTGCTTTAACCGCTCGTCCAGATGTGCAACAGTCACGCTCCACTGCCAGCCACTGAATCGATGCCATTGAGAAGTGCAACACAGCCTAAAGTTGAGAAAGAGGCCGGGATGCCCGGGCGAGGCCCGACAGCTCTGCCTTTCAAGAGTCGTTTGTTTTCCAAAGGGACCGCTGGGCTCGCCATGGTTCTGGGAAATGGTGGGAATTGCTGGATGGCCGGGGAAGGAGGCCAAAAAAATATCTCTGGCTGTTGAAAGAAGAACTGCGACCTCAGATACATGGCACAAATCCGCAGACGGGATGGGATGCACAAGATGGCAGAATGATGGATTGTTCCTTCTTTTGCAACTTGTTTGTTTTATAACTCTAATCCAGAGACAGGTGTGAGATGTATATCTATATCTCTGTCTGTCTGTCTACCTGCCTGCCTGCCTATCTCTATATCTATCTACAGTACCTATCTATCTAAGCCAGCAGTGTGCAGCAGCGGTCAAAAAAGCTAATACAATTGGGTTGTATAAACAGGCATAGAATCAAAATTACGTGAAGTATTATTAGTGCTGCTTTATAAAACTCTAGTAAGACCACACCTGGAATACTGCAACCAATTTTGGTCACCGTACTACAAAAAAGACGTTGAGACTTTGGAAAAAGTTCAGAGAAGAGCAGCTAAGATGATCAAAGGCCTGGAGACTAAAACACATGAACAGTTGTAGAATTTGTGTTTGGCTAGAGAAAAGTAGGACTAGGGGGGACATGATAGTATTCCAGTATTTGAGGGGGTGCCACAAAGAAGAACAAATTCTCCAAAGCACCAGAAGACAAGACAAGAAACAATGGTTGGAAATTAATCAAGGAGAAAAGCAACCTGGAATTAAGGAGAAACTTCCTAACAGTGAGGACAATTAACCAGTGGAACAGCTTGTCACCAGAAGTTGTGGATGCTCCATCACTGGTGGTTTTTAAGAAGAGATTGGACAGCCATTTGACTGGGATAGTATAGGTCAGTGATGGCTAACCTTTTTGCCATCATGTGCCAAAAGTGGGGGGAGTGCGGGAGGATTGTGTGCGTGTGTGCCCACACCCATAATTCAATGTGCCCCATCCCCCACGCATGTGTGCATGACCCCTCCCCCATTCTCCCCTCACTTTTTGCACACAATGGCACGGTGGGCCCGGTAGGCCCATTTTTTTTCCCTCCCCAGGCTCCAGAGGTTTTCTAGGAGCCTGGGGAGGCCGAAAATGGCCTTCCCGCCCCCACCCCCCGGAGGCCCGGAAACAGCCCGTTTCCCGACTTCCGGTGGCCCGGAAGGCCTGAAAATCAGCTGGCCAGCGCACTGGACTGAGGTAGGGCAACGCTTGCGTGCCCACGAATATGGCTCCGTGTGCCACAGGTTCGCCATCACGGGTATAGGTTCTCCTGCTTGAGCAGGGGGCTCAACTAGAAGACCTCCAAGGTCCCTTCCAGCTCATTCATTCATTATAGATATCTATCATCGCTATACCTGTCTGTCTATCCATCTATGTCTGTCTATCCATCTATATCAGGGATGGCTAACCTTTTCCGGACTGAGTGCCCAAAGTGCACCCAAACCCCTAGA